TAGCTCACGTGGTTTATGTCAGTTAATAGTAGCTCTCACAGTCAGACTCTTAGTGCATTTGACCAGGTTTTCAGCATTTATATCAATATACAGTTCAACATGTTATCTTTATGATTAGTACTTGGTCATAGCTTTCAGCTTAGCTTTTCAGTTATGTTTCAGTATTTATATTTTTGTTCAGATTATGTTATTGCTCAGTTATGCTTTGTTCAACTCATATATATTTGTTCAGCTTAATATCTATATCATGCATGCTCAATACATTCCTAGTACTGACGCATACTCTGCGCTACATCATTTTATGATGTAGGTTCAGGTTCTCAGCATCCAGATCACACTTAGATCAATTCTTGGTCCGCATTCAGCAACTTCAGTGGTGAGTCCTCATTTTTCGAGGACAATAAACATGCTTTCATTTTAGTGTTTGCTTTCAGATTTCAATTTTGTTAGAGTTAGCTGGGGACATGTCCCAGCAACTCAACTTAGTTAGAGGCTTTTCAAACATAGTAGTAGATTCAGCTTGAGTTGTTAAGTGATTATTTCAGTTATCACTAAACTCTTAGTATGTTTTACATATTCAGACTAGTTGGGTTTTTCCCCATTTTTCAGATATCCACTATTTTTAGCTTCTGTATAGTTCATGCTTTACTTAGTTATTTTCAATATGTTTATGATATGTCTGACTCAGGGTTAGCTTGGGGTTACTCGTGATTGTAGGTTCCGTGTTACGTCAAAGGGTAGCCTCGGGACGTGACAGTGGTGCGGAATGTTTTGTGTGTGGCTGGTAAAATTGATTATTGAATCTAAAAAATAAAATATACTAGTGGGTTTGTTTGTGGTTGGTGGTGAGTGTCAAAGAAGAGGGAATTGAAGGTGGTGAAAAAGAAGCAATCGATATTGATAATGGTGATGGTGATATTTGGTGGTGAGTTTGTACCTTTTGATGGTGTTGATGTGATTTCGGGGATGAGTTTAGTTATGGGTGTTCATTTTTGTGGTGATCACTTACAATTTTTGTAGGGATGATGGAGATGGTATGATTCTCATGGTGAATTTGATTGTAGGTGGTGAAATTTTTTGCAACTATTTTATTTCGTGGTTAAATATATGATTTTGGTGCTGGTATTGTGGCAATGGTAATTGTTCCATTGTGGTATTCAGTGAAAAAGAAGCAAAAGGATGACATGAAGCATTTTATTTCGAAACTAGCATGGCATCTGATGTGGCAATGAGATGACATTGATGTGGTGAGGGTGTAATACAACTCCCGTTGTGAAGGTGGTGTTATACACCTCAGGGTGGTATTAAATTTACTTATGAGTAGTAAAGGTGTATAATAGGCCGACGTGATAGTTTAAGTGTGTAACTAACTTTTCGGAACAAATTCAGGGGTAATTATGCATTTTTTGTAAAAAAATAACATATATTGCATAATTTCTAAATAAAAAAAAATTACAAAAATAACCTCCACAAATATGGAAATGATGTACAAAGAATTTTGAGGGGCAATTGTGTGTTTAATGTTGTTAATGCATGCATTAAAATCTTTTGCATAACTAATACTCCCCCCCCCCCCACCCCCCACCCTCCCTCCAAAAAAAAGACATAGTTTGACTTGACAGAAAATTTAAGAAAATAAAGAAGACTTTTCAATTTTGGCTTCCTAAATTAAAGTTATGTCACATGTACCAAAATACATTTTAATTTTGTGGTCTTAAACATGTCACATTAAAAGATGAAATTAAAGTATTGCTAAGAAAAATGGCTCATTCTTTTATAAATAGACGAACAAGAAAAGTAAGTCATTCGTTTTTAAATGAAGGGAGTACCATGAATTTTCATGTATTAATTTAGCATACCTTAATATCAAATAGAGTATATAACTTATGCAAATATTAGTTATACAAAAATTGAAAAAATTACCAAACAAGATACTAATAATTAGGGGTATTCATGTTTCGGTTTAAATCGGTTATTGGTTAAAACCATAACCAAACCAATTTAGTCTATTTTTCAATCTCTAATACCAAATCAAATTTAAAAAAAATCATTGTCGATTTGGTTCGATTTTTATAGTTTTCTCGATTTGAAAGTAAAAAAGTCTATTAAGGACATATGCATCCCGATAGACACATACACCTAGTATATGAACAATACACATGAAAGCTATTATTGATTCAACTAAGCAATTAATCAATTAGAGTTATTATTACACGAGCAGAGTGATTTAGTTGACCAATACACCAAGATCAAAATATCAAATCTTTATAGCAAAAAAAAAAAAATAACCCCAAGCTCAACAATTGAGGAACTACCCGGGGATGGGTACAAGAAAATTATATATCAAAACACTAACAAGAGGTTTTATATTTTATTTATGAAATTCAGTTTAATTATTTTTACAGTAAAACCAAAATCAAATCAAATAGTATCGATTTTCATGATTCAAAATCAAATTAAATATCAATTTTCTTGATTTAAATTGCGATTTAATTTGATTTTTCAACTATAACTATGAAAAACCCTACTAATAATACATCATTATATTTTTCAATCCACTCTACCAAACCCCTTAATTTGACCTTGTGATTAATTAAAAAGGTGTTTGCAAGTGGGTTGTTGAAGATAAAATAGGATTAATACAAGAGAAAGGGAGTGAAAAAGAGAGCAATAATGCTTAGGTAGGATAGGAGACAGAGGGTTGCTTTTTGGGTACTTGGGGAATAAAACGCTGTCTCTCTACGAGGATTGGCGTGACATCTCTTTTTTTCTTTTTCTTTTCCAATCTGCTTAAAACTATAATAATCCTTAACAATATATTATTATATTTTCAATTAACTTTGATTTTTCATTTATATGCAAGGAAACAAATGATAAACATGAAAAAGGCAAAAAATCATCACTTTCCCCTTTATCGACTCTCCCTCTTTCTTTCCTACCTTTTCACCTTTATTACTTTATTTGAATTTCTGCCTCCCCTTCTCTCCCTAACATTTTTTTAAAATTTTCTTTAGCTCCCACTTCAAGACATTTTTTTAAAGTTACCATTTCTATTCCTCCTTCTATTCAGTAATAGTTATACTTATCCACACTGGCAGAGTCAGAATTTTTAGTAAGCAGGGTTCAAAATATGTAGAAATAGACACATGAAGTAGTCGAAGGGGATTTGGCATCTACTATATATACATAAAAAATTATTTTAACTATGTATAAATAATATAATTTTTCTGCCAAAGGGAGGTAAAGGATGAACCCCACAAGGTGGCTCGGCCCTTGGTTATACACTATTGACTCGACACAAGGATAAATAAAAAGTAAATTTTACCAAGTCACCCTTATTAAATATAAGTCATTCAAAAATAAATAGCATTTAAATAGCAAGGATAAAACAGATATAAAATGATAATTATTTATTGATTTAATAAATTGGACAAGTATTATTAGACATTCCAAAATAATATAATAAACAAGTTAAATTGGACAGTGAGAATAATTTATTATGTGAAATATAGTAAACTAGGTATATCTTGAAGATTTTGTTTATTTATATTATATAGTTTGTCATTCTTGGTAGAAAAAAAGCATGCACATATAGAGATCGAAATCTTGTATTCTCTTTATGCAGCTTTACATGTAGTGAGTATCAAATTCTCTGATAAATGCAGTCTATTAATTAATAACTTATCTTAGCTTACGGCATAGAATTACTTGACACAGTTCCCTATCCCCATGCAAAAAATGATTAAACAAAAGTAACCTTTCATGCTAATTATCTTTACAAATAGTACACACCATTTGGTCATAAAGCTTAGAACTAACAACTGTTGAAAGATAAAGTACAACTGGTCTAACCAGAGACAAAGAAAAGAAAAACTACTATCAGCTACTTACATTGTTTTTTTTTTTCGCTCAGGCTCTGGTATCTATATTAAAGTTCGATTAAATTTGGATTTGCGTCGAAAAAATCTCATATAGGAGTAAAGCACTCCCTAATAATGACAACTATGTATCCGGAAGATTTGAGACCTCTGATTAAGAATGAAGTACTTACTACTCCACCATAATCCTTGTTAGTCGTTTCAATTTATTGAACGCTCGTCCCATTGAAATTTCTTTATATGTATGTTAAATATTTTAATTTGTTAATTATTCTTATTTAGTATTTTTTTTTTAGATAATTTTCAAATATATAAATTTTGTTTCAAGAAACTTAACGTTTTTATGTCCACATTATTGTCAAAATTTTAAAAATTGAATCTAGAAATTTTAATTATATCACATAACATAATTTTGTAGCCACATAAGTATATCAAGATTTTAAAAATAAGAAGTTTTTTACCTGAACTCTTGTCCAATCAAAAGGTTCCATATAAAATGAAATGGACGGATTAATTATGGTTTAAATTTGTTTGTTTGGTTTTAACCTGAAATTAGAAGTAATAACAACTTTTGAATCTTGTTGTTGTGATCTTATAAACCAAAGATACATTAAATATATTTAAAATAATTTTTAATCTTATGGTCTTAATATAAGTTGCGCAGACTCTTCATTTTCAATGTCGACCAATATCTAATTCTTCAAAAATACACTACTTTTTGAAAATGCAACACACACATGTTAACATTTTTTAAGACTCCGACCAACATAGGTCTTTAACTTAAACATGTCACGAAAAAGTTAGAATTAGTAAGTTTCCAACAAAAAATATATACTATATATTTTTTTTGAAATAGACTAAAAAGAAACGGAGGAGTAAATTGTCTTTAGATAAAGGAATAAAAAAAAGAAATGAAAAAGCTAGAACAACTAGTTTAAAGGCAAAGATATGATCTGTCTTGGCTTCTTTATTTAAAAAACCCTTGTGGGCTTATATCTTTTCACTTGAAATTAAAAGAAAAAGAAATAAAGCTATAGTAGTTGAAGCACATATATATATATATATATACACATACTTGTTGTTAAGAGAAAGAAGAAGTAACAAGAAAAAGAAAGTATATAGAAAACACAAGTTTTGAGTAGAGTGTGGGGTGTTAGAGCTGGTAGAGGGGGGGTAACATAGTAAGAAAGTGTTCAGTTCTCAGGCAAGATAGGTTACGGTATCAACAACGAGGGGGGGTGTAGGGGGGGTGGGGTTGTATCTAAGTTATGCGAACGGGAGCGGGTAGTGCAGTTCAACAGACCCTCACAACAGAGGCTGCTTCAGTATTGAAGCTTTCTCTTAGCTTGGCCAGGAGAAGAGGCCATGCACAGGTTACTCCTCTTCATGTTGCTGCTATTTTGTTGAGTTCGAGATTAAGTCTTCTTCGAAAAGCTTGTCTCAAATCTCAACAACAACATAATAATAATAATTATAGTTCTCATCCACTTCAGTGTAGAGCTCTTGAGTTATGCTTTAATGTTGCACTTAATAGACTTCCAACAAGTCCTGGTCCACTCCTTCATGGCCAGCCTTGTTTGTCTAATGCTTTAGTTGCTGCACTCAAAAGAGCGCAAGCTCATCAGCGAAGAGGCTGTATAGAACAACAGCAACAACAGCAACAACCTCTTTTAGCTATTAAAGTTGAGTTAGAGCAACTTATTTTGTCTATTCTAGATGATCCTAGTGTTAGTAGGGTTATGAGAGAAGCTGGTTTCTCTAGTACCGCAATTAAAAACAATATAGAGGAATCAGCTTCTTCATCAGTGTTTCAGTGTTATAACAATAGCTCTGCAGGTGGAATTTACACCACACCTAGCTCACCTACTAACACTACAACTACTACTGAGAATAGTCCATTTAATAGTTTTTGGAATTCACAAAACCCTATTCTCTTTTCACCTCATAAGTTCATTAATACACAATTAACATCATCAGATGTTAAGTTGGTGTTAGATGTGTTGTTGAGAAATAACAACAAGAGGCGAAACAGTGTGATAGTTGGTGACTCAGTGACAAGCACAGAAGGAATAGTTGCACAACTGATGGGAAAAGTGGAGAGAGGAGATGTGCCTGAGGAACTTAAAGGAGTTCACTTTATCAAATTTCAGTTCTCAGATGCACCGCTAATGTTAATGAAAAGAGAAGAAGTGGAGCTGAACATATCAGACCTGAAAAGAAAAGTGGAATCTCTTACAAGGGGTACTGGGGGTAGAGGAGGAGTCATTATCTACACAGGTGACTTGAAATGGACAGTTGACAGTACTAATAAGGAGAAAGAAAGAGGATTGTTTGTTAATTATAGTCCAGTTGATCATCTTGTAGCTGAGATAGGAAGGCTTGTTTCTTCCTACAACAACAGCAGCTCAAATGCAAAGGTTTGGTTGGTGGGTACAGCAAATTATCAAACTTATATCAAATGCCAAATGAAACAACCTCCTCTTGATATTCAATGGTCTCTTCAACCTATTTCTGTTCCATCTGGTGGTCTAGGGTTAAGTCTCAATACTACAAGGTCAGTTACCATTTATTTTTGTCTTCATTCTTCATAATCATAAATTTCATCATAATGCACTCTATTTTTGTTTATTTATATTTGTCACATTTTAATTTGACACGCTCATTAACAAAGCAATGATTGATATGACTATTTTGTCGCACTGCCTTATTAATTAACGTTCAGTAAAAAATGGAGTAATTAGTTTTTCTTGATATGTTAAAAGTGACAAATAAATATAACATTTTATATTTAAAATAGTGGACAAGAGTAAAAGTGAACGAATATATTATGTTTCCTTTTTATGACTGTGTTTGAGTTTTCATTGTCTGAACGACTAAACAAAAATAGCAGGACTTAGGAGCACGCTCTATTATATTGCCAAAAAGCAATGCTAAGAAAACGTACAAAATGTAAAATGGACATCTTTTGAATTTACTGTTTTCTTGTTTCTTTTTCTTTTTTGTGGATTTGTTTTTAAGTCATAATAATAAGGTGAAAAAGGCAAAAGAAGGGAAAAAAAATTGGAAATAGAATGTAAGTAATTACCTACTTTATTCAGTATCTAGCAGGTGATGTTGCAGCATGTGGGTTTTTGTCCCAAGCATGTTTCTAGTATCGGTTGTTGCCTTTTTCAGGTTTCAAGGGAATTATCTTCCTTTTTTGACTTCTTTTTCAGATGGGAAAGCACCTTAGACAAATGACACTTATTTTTATATTACTACTAATGTAAATACTATAATCTTGTTTAATTTTCATTCTCTTTTCCCCCTTACATATCAATTTAGTGGAGATTTGAATAGTGCTACACTTGTTATGCCCTCCATAAAAGTGTTCAATTTAAATTATTTTCAGATTTAGAAATGTATTATTGCTAAAATTCAAGTGTCTTATATTAATTGGGTACGGAATTTAGAGAAAAACTTTTGAATCTAATAGTCTTAAATTAAAGATGTATATAGTCTTTTAAATCTTATAGTCTTAAACGTGTTATGTAACAAGTTGAAATTTAAAGCTTACTAAATATAAAAAGAGATACTATTTCTGAGAGTAAGACGCTTAAATTGGATAAAGAGTGTAATAATTTTCAATTATTTTTTGGAAGGAAGGAAGTATAATTTACTAAACAAGTCTATATTCTCCTGATTTTGCAGTGTCCATGAAGCAAGAATACCATTCTCTCAACAAATGTTTGAGAAAAAGCCAGTACCTAGCAAAGAGGAACATGATGCACTCACTTGCTGTGCACAATGCACTTGTAATTATGAAAAAGAAGCTATGTTGAAGTTTGGGCAGCACAAAACTTGTACATTGAGTCCTATGTCTATCACATGTGACACTAAGGACTCTGACAAACCTCCAACACCATTGCCTGATTGGCTCAAACCACATGACATGGATCCAACTAACAAGGTACACATCTTACTATTCTCATCTATTAACCTACAATAATTCCAATTATTCCTTTACTTTTAATATCATATACTACCTTCACTAATTTTAACTTTTTGACCTGACATATTTAAGATCACGAGATTAAAGAATATTTTTTTACACTCTACATATCCTTACACCAAAATTCAAAAAAAATTCTCTATTTTCTTAAATTCTCTATCAAGTTAAAATCAGACAACCAACATCAACGAGATGATGATAGAATCCAGAGTATAAAGGTCAATGTGTCTAATCTATCATATAAAATGGGACAACATTATCTTACTGGCCATCTATTTTCAGGATGATTTGGCTGAGTTGAAAGGAAAGTGGAGCAGGTTGTGCAAAAATCTTCATCAAGGGAAGCCAAATCAAAGACAAATAAGTTCAGTTGTGTGCAATGAATACAATAGCAGTGGGAAGAATTATTCTTTTAATTCATTGTATCCATGGTGGCCTAATCAGCACAGTATAATAACAGATTGCAAATCGATTTCATTTAGTGATCCACACAATGTGAAGCCTAATCATGGAGCCAGCACTGTGCCAAGATTCAGAAGACAACAATCGTGCCATATTGAGTTCAGTTTCAGCAATGGGAACTCGAAAAATGAATCACAATCATCAGTTGAGCCAAACTTGGATTCTCTTAAGAACAGAGAAGGGAAAGAAGTGAAAATCACACTTGCTCTTGGGAATTCACAGCTTTCTGATCATATCGGTGGGAATAACGTTGATGAAGAGATGCTCAAATTGTTACAAGAGAACTTGCCTTGGCAAATGGAAAACATGCATACTATTGTGGATGCATTGATGGATTTCAACACAATCAATAAGCAGAAGAATTGGTTGTTGATTCAGGGGAATGACTCAATTGGGAAACAGAGATTGGCTCGAGCGATGGCAAAATCAGCTTTTGGTTCTGATGACTTGCTGTTGTGCATCAACATGAGAAACATGTCAAATCATGTTGAGTTGCTCAACAAGGCCTTAAGGAATCATGAAAAGCTTGTTGTCCTACTGGAAGATGTCGATTTTGCTGATGCAGAACTCTTGAAATTTCTTAAGGATGCTTATGAAAATCGGAGTTCTAGTCATTTGTTCATCGTAGCAATCAGGACTAGCGATGCAACTGATCACTGCAGTGATGGAAGAGAGTACTATTGCACAGAGTCTGTAATCCAGATGAAACTGGTGGTAAGTGAAACGAGTCCGAATCCTGGATCAGTATGTATTGATCATAAGAGAAAAGCTGAATGGGAATTATCTTTGCCTAACAAGACCAAGAGTCCAAGAAACAATGTGATGGAAGATGTCACCTCAATTGCTACTCAAAGTGGGAAGATAATGAAGCAATTGAGCTCAAATACCCTTGACCTCAACATAAAAGCAGACGAGGTCTATGACGAGGGTGATGTACACGAAGCCATAACTGAGGACTTTAGCCCCATTTCAAGTGACTTGACTCGCGATACAGCCAATGATCACCATCAACAAAACAACAATCCATCACTTGGTTTTTTGGACCTCATCAAGAACCGCCTTGTTTTGAAGCGCGATTCTTCTCAAGACAAGCAAATGAGAGAGGTGTTCATGTTCAAGATGAGAAGGTCATTGGAACAAGTGTGTGGGAGTAAAATACTAGAGAAATTTTCCTTTGATGAAATGGTGTTGGAGAAGGTATTTGAAGGGTGTGGTTCATTTCTCAACAACTTGTTTGATGAATGGCTAAAAGACATTTTTCAAACGAGCTTGCAAATGATTGAAGATAAAGAAAATATTGAGATCATCAAGCTTTGTGAAGTGGTGGGAGCTAAATATGAGATTGGTTTCAAAGGTTCATGTCTTCCAAGAGGGATTCAAGTTTCAATCATGGACTAAGTAGTTGTCACTTCTAGCTATATATTATGGTACTACTACTATATTTCCTTGTCAATGCACCACTACGTGTCCTTTTGTAACTAGCTAGTCTTGTTTTTCTAATACAATGTCTGCTTTGTTTTCATTCCCATATAAATTATGGACTAATTAAACAACAGACTCATAAGTTGCTCGAACTCGGATGCAGATGTTCAATACGAGTATGCATCTAGAGGTTGGATTTTTCATGATTTGGGGATATGAATTCAAGTAGGGATATGAATTTGGGAATATGTATTCATATACGGATATGGATGTGGAAATTTGACTAAGAATAATTCAGTTATCTAAAAATAGTGCGAATTGTCTAAATTATGAGATGTTATGTGGAAAACTTAAAAGATATTAAGAGGAAAATATACTGATCAAAAGGAGAATCCCAGAAGATGATATATATATATATATATATATATATAAAAGGACTATCATAGAAATTTATATATACACGGGTGGGACACCAAAAGTGAAGAGTCCGAGCAACTTAATATAAAAAACAAAAGATGCACAAATTTAAAATAATTACTACTGTATTTGTTTTTCAAGATTAAGATTATATATAGATATAAAAGAAAAACTACCTATCTTTTTTCACTGCAAACTATTTCAAACATTGCAATTTGCAAGTGTTAAAACTGTGGCACTATAAGTTTATAATTGAAAAGTTAAGTTTATAATTGAAAAGTTAAGAACAATTTTAATTAAATAGATAACTAGACTTAATTACACATAGTGTACATCCCAAACTAAATACTTATCATATAAGGAAAAATCACGAATTATAGCTAAAAAGAGGTTGCGAGGAAGAGAGACGAGAGAGAGGAAGAGAGGAGAGAGGCGCACATAATTATAGCTAAAAAGAGGCTGCGAGTGTAATTAATGCAAAATATAGCTATGTTAGCTAATTAACTAGTATATATTTACTTATCCGCGTAATTTCCCTAAAATAATATTATTGTTGAACGTATCAAATCCAATATTCTGAAAAGAGAGATCGATTTTGATCATATCTATATTTTTAATTTTCATAGGCAAGGAATGAGACATAACTAGGACCTATAGGTTTGTGGGAGCATGGTGATGCATTGATTTCTTTGGTAGAGTTCAATCAGCTCAAACTTCATGATGATGCCTAACAAATCTTTAGACTACTGCCATAAATGTTGGCTAAACTATTCAATAAAGAAATATCACTACTTGCCCTTTAAAGTACTTCAATGCCACTATGAAGGACAGAGAGACATGTTTGCTGAATGAAAAATGATTCTAGGGAGAAACAAGTCATGCCACTTATTTTGGCTCAATAGTGGCATCCAATAATATATATATATATATATATATATTGGCAATTAATTAACGACAATAGCTTATTGCGACATTCAACACTCTTTGTAAATGTCCATAAAGTCTATAGCGACACTGGATCCAATGACAATTAACTAATGCAAGAGGTAAAGACTTTATCACTCTTTTTTAATATATATATATATATATATATATATATATATATATTTATTGCTGCTAAAAATTGTTTTTATTGTAGTGTATACATATTTACAATATGTTAATTTCCTACAATATTTTAAGGATAATTCAGGAGGTAAAGACTTTATCACTTTTTTAATATAAATATTTATTGCTGTTAAAAGTTATTTTTATTGTAGTGTATACATATTTACAATATGTTAATTTCCTACAATATTTTAAAGATAAATTTTGAAATTATCCTTAAAATCTTGCCATGAAATTGTTTTTTTTAAAATAAAGTAGTGTATATTAAGATTACTCGAAAATTGTTCAATTTTATCCAAATAAAATGATGTCTTCTTTTCATTATTTTTCGTAAGAAATTTGCTCATCGGTGTCTAATTTCTGTCTTGGAATGAAATCTTTGCACTTATTTATGGAGTTGATCTTCGAAACATGTTTGGCCATAAAATTTTGAAACTCCAACTTGTAATTGAATTCTAGAATTTACAAGAATTTAAAAAACAATAGAAATGTTCTTTCACTTATTTCGTTCCAAATTTCGTACAAAAAGTCAAAAATAATTTTAATTTATATTCATGATCAAACATGATGTCGTTTTTCACTTTGAAAATAAAAAATTACTTTTTTCAAATTTTATAATGAAATATGGCCGTCCACTTTTTTTTAAGCCAGTATAGTATATGTAGATCACTTGCCACAAAGGACTATCAAGTACCTTTTTTCTCTAATAAAGGTCATGATATTATTATAATTGCACCAAAAAAAGGAAGTACCCATATTTCTATCATCTCTCTTTTATGGTTCTTGTGTTGTGACTCCACCAATCAATAGAGCAATGAGTATAGATAGGGGTGTACATGGCCGGGTTGGTTTGGGTTTTCAAATATCAAATCAAATTATTTGTGTCGGATTTTTAAATTTATAAATCAAACCAAATCAATAAAACTCGGGTTTTTCAACCTCGGGTTTTTTCGGATTGTTTCGGGTTTTTCCGATAAAGTATTCATACAAACATATAATTTACTAGTTCTTCAAATATTTCTTTAGTCCTACCAAAATACAACTATCTAAGATGTTTCTTAAAAATATAACACAATATGATATGATTAATGTCACTAAAATATCCAACAAAAATAATAATAATGAAATCGCGTAAAACAAATATTGCAAATTAACAAGTCATAATGAAAATGATCATAATTTAAAAGTACTAAATCATGCTAAAATTAAGTTTAATAAGTATTAGTTACATAACTAAATATTAAAGGAAATTAAAATTAGATTATGTATTTTAATTGTCTAAACCAATGTAAAACTAAAGAACAAATATTATTGTCATTCTTAGTGTTGAATTGATTTTCTTTTTGCATTAGTATTAATTTGATTTTGATTTAAGTTTTATTATAATTATCAACATCTGTGGACTATAAACTTTATTGGCCCATTCATAATTCTAAGTTTCAAACTTGAAAAAATATATTAAAAGATAAAAACTATGAAAAAGTATAAGAAATATTTAAAAATTATATCAAAGTAAATATTTTTATGTATAAAATAAAATTTTAAAATTATATATATAATATCGGGTTGGTTTGGTCTTAGGTTGGCTTTTTTTGGTTAAAACCAAACCAATCCAAATATAGTCGGATTTTTTTTTTCAAAACCAAACCAAATCACTAGTCGAATTTTTTTTTCCGAATTGACTCGATTTACGATTTGGTTCAGTTTTATACACCCCTAAGTGTAGATATCAACATCTTCACAAATTGTACCAGCAAGGCAAACCTCCAGAGTAATTATCAACATGCCCCTTAACATGTGCAATTCATAAAAATTTAGTCCTCATAGTTCATTTCATTATTAATTTATGTAATTTTCATGACACAAATATCTTTTTTCAATAAAAAAAAAACACTGATTATTTGTCAGACTCCAAGTCTAGATCGTGGGCGTGGGAGACATTTGATGTTATTACTGGCCCAAGTGTGCATGTACCATGACATAAAATATATGCACATATATCTAACTATGAGTCTAAACATAATTTCAAGTCTTTTAAAAGAAATAGTTTTCACAAATGTATGATCATGATGTTGAAATTTATGAAAACAACATGAAGGTCAAAACTTGAAGTACATGATTGACGGTCTATATGGAAGCTTCTACTAGAGGTGTACATGACCGGGTTGGTTCGGATTTTTCAAATATCAAACCAAATCGTTTGTGTAAAAAGTTTAAATTTATAAACCAAATCAAACTAATAAAATTTAGATTTTTTCGGGTTTTTCAACCTCGGGTTGGTTCGGGTTTTTCAAATACCAAACTATTGTGTCGAATTTTTAAATTTATAAATCAAACCAAACTAACAAACCTCGGATTTTTTCAAATTTTTGGATTTTTTGGGTAAAGTTTGCATACAAACATATAATTAACTTGTGCTCCAAATATTTCTTTAGTCCAGCAAAAATACAATTATCTAAGATGTTTCTTAAGAAAATAACACAAAATATGAGATGAGTACTGATACACTAAAATATTTAATAAAAAATAATAATGAAATCATCATATAAAATAAATATTGCAAAGTCATAACGAAAATGATCATAATTTAAAAGTACTAAATCATGCTAGAATAAGTTTAATAAGTATTAGTTACATTACTAAATATTTAAGGAAAATTAAAATTAGATTATGTATTTTAATTGTCTAAACCAATGTACAACTTAAGAATAAATACTCAATTTTATTGTCATTCTTAGTGTTGAATTGATTTTCTTTTTGCATTAGTATTAATTTGATTTTAATTTAAGTTTTATTATAATTATCAACATCTATGAACTATAATCTTTATTGGACCATTCCGAATTCTAAGTTTAAAACTTGAAACGATTTATTAAAAGATAAAAACTATGAAATAGTATAAGAAATATTTTAAAATTATATCAAAGTAAATATTTTTATGTATAAAATAAAATTTTAAAATTACATATATAGTGTCGGGTTGGTTTGGTCTCGGGTTGGTTTTTTTAAGTTAAAACCAAACCAACCCAAATATAGTCGGGTTTGTTTTTCCAATACCAAACCAAGTCAAACCAAACCACTAATCGGGTCTTTTTTTCGGTTTGACTCGATTTGCGATTTGATTCGATTTTCGGTTCAATTTTATACACCCCTAGCTTCTACATATCGAATAGTGTCTACTAGCATAGAGTAAAATCATAAGTTTTAAAATCATGATGATTGCCTCACTAAATAAATTTCATATTTCATAAATCATTAATTTATGTTTGGGAGTTTCTCAAAATCGACATAATATCTATCATGTAAACTCATGATATTCGATTGTCGCCCCCATCGAAAATTCGTTCTATACATTGATAGGTCACATGGGCATAACATGACTTGGCATATATAGTTTCAGATATTTGTTATCTAAAATTCATACATACTCATTTAATAATAATTCTTCCAAAATATAACATTTTCTCAAAATCATTATTATCCCAAAAGCTCATAAATCATAGATATCTCAAAAGCTCATAAATCACGGTCATGTAAATCATATCATAATATCACAAGGTTTATCATTTGAAACAAATCATTATTCATAAATTATGTCGTAATATCTTTAAG